CGGCGGCATCGATCTCCTTCTTGACGTCGTTTCTGATGACCTCGGCGACCGCCTCGATCAGATCGTTCTGCATGCCGTCGGCCAAGCCGGAGAACACGGCCGAGGTCTCCAGGTGCCTCGCCAACCTCTCGTCCATCTCGGCGAACGCGTGCAGCAGCTCCACGTAGTTGCCGCGCTTCCCAGATCTGGCGCTCGCGTCGTCGTCGCGGAACGCCAACTCCTGTTTGGCCAGGAAGCAGGTGGCGTCGATGAGGTGCTTCAGGATCTCCCGGTTCTCCTTCACCTGAGCGTTGTGGACGCTGATGTTCAAGCCCCGCTGCTGGCTCAGCGCCAAGTCTATCCGCGAGGCGCCGAACGTTTTTAACGCAATTTGGCTCTGGATGTGGGTGGCCGACTTTTCGTGCTTGCAGAGGCCCCGCGACAGGTTCTTCAGATCGCAAAAGCCGGCGTTGGTCCAGACGTTGTTGGTGCTGGAGAAGAGGAGGCAGGGAAAGCAGTACAGGCGGTTTTTGGCGGCCGAGCCGCACAGCCAGTCTTTCCGCTGGTACCACTCCATCTGGAAGGAGCGCGATATCTTCTTCTGCCCCTTGGTTTGAAGCAGGTCCGTGTTCAGGAGGACGGGCATCGGCCTCCCGTTACTTATCATCCTCTGTTTCGATTGGAAGTCCAGTTTGGAGAACTTTTTGAGGTTTGGTATGCTGGTTTCCATTTTGGCCGCCGCTGGAAAGACAATACAACATAATGAGTAAAAAAAAACCCATCAAGGATATATAATAATATGGACATTTGTCTCATTGAGTAGCATCACAGCCGAGGGACACAGTCCTCTGGGACCAACGGAACATAAATATTTATTTATTTATATAGAGATCCACCTGCTTTCTCAGCTCTGGGCCGGGACACATCGCATGCCGGGCCTGTGCACTAAGCACCATCAACGGGAAACATTCTGAGCGCTTAGTGTGCACCTCAATACCTAGTATCGGTGCCGACTCATACTCGTCCAAATGCTCACCATGCCTATCCTGATACCAGAACTTCTGAAGACGGGCGACGAGTCAATATACACTGCCCGGCTTCCTGATTGGCCAGGAAGCCAACTCCGTGCTCCCTCGTCACTAGGGAGTATGGTGGACATGACGTTATATTGAGGAATGGAGATGGACCTTCATATGGTGTACAGTGTCTCCTCCTCATTTGTTGGTCACATGACGTTATATTGGGGGATGGAGATGGACCTTCATATGGTGTACAGTATCTCCTCCTCATTTGTTGGTCACATGACGTTATATTGAGGAATGGAGATGTACCTTCATATAGTGTACAGTATCTCCTCCTCATTTGTTGGTCACATGACGTTATATTGAGGAATGGAGATGGACCTTCATATGGTGTACAGTATCTCCTCCTCATTTGTTGGGGACATGACGTTAGATTGAGGAATGGAGATGGACCTTCATATGGTGTACAGTATCTCCTCCTCATTTGTTGGTCACATGACGTTATATTGGGGAATGGAGATGGACCTTCATATGGGGTACAGTATCTCCTCCTCATTTGTTGGTCACATGACGTTATATTGGGGAATGGAGATGGACCTTCATATGGTGTACAGTATCTCCTCCTCATTTGTTGGTCACATGACGTTATATTGAGGAATGGAGATGGACCTTCATATAGTGTACAGTATCTCCTCCTCATTTGTTGGTCACATGACGTTATATTGAGGAATGGAGATGGACCTTCATATGGTGTACAGTATCTCCTCCTCATTTGTTGGGGCCATGACGTTAGATTGAGGAATGGAGATGGACCTTCATATGGGGTACAGTATCTCCTCCTCATTTGTTGGTCACATGACGTTATATTGGGGAATGGAGATGGACCTTCATATGGTGTACAGTATCTCCTCCTCATTTGTTGGTCACATGACGTTAGATTGAGGAATGGAGATGGACCTTCATATGGTGTACAGTATCTCCTCCTCATTTGTTGGTCACATGACGTTATATTGAGGAAGGGAGATGGACCTTCATATGGTGTCCAGTATCTCCTCCTCATTTGTTGGTCACATGACGTCATATTGAGGAATGGAGATGGACCTTCATATGGTGTACAGTATCTCCTCCTCATTTGTTGGTCACATGTCATATTGAGGAATGGAGATGGACCTTCATATGGTGTACAGTATCTCCTCAATTCTTCTGGTGATGACTAGAGATTTCATATACCTCCACCTCATTTGTCGGGAACATTAGAAGGTGGTGGAGGTATATCGATGACAGTCTATGAACAGTAAAGATGTGAGGATCTCTGTCTAGAACAAGGGCAGCATACACTTTACCCAATTAGAGAAAAATTGGCCGACCTCTGTACATAAAAAGCGATATTCGCAGTTAAAATGAGGAAAAGTCTTCTCTAGTAACGTGTTCTCTGTGACTGGAATTGCTTCTCATATTTGTAGGAAGGATCATTGTAGAATGTTGATCTGGGAAGATCTCTGATGGCCTTTTGGCATCGGGAAGGAATTCCTTTCACCTAAACCAGGGGTGGCCAAACTGCGGTGGAACTACGAATCCCATGGAGGCTTTGCAAGATTCTCACAGCCACGACTCCCGGAGAGAGATGCATCATGGGATTTGTAGTTTCACCCACAGCTTTGAGGGGCTTGAGTTTGGATTGTCTTTTTTATAAGTTCTATTTCATCCCAGATAACGATGTAAATACACATTTTATACTCCGAGAGGCAGAACGAACATGTGACCCGTTTCTACAATGTTTATGGACTTATGTTTAGGACTTACTTGTGTCCGTACGTAGAGAAGATGCCTCCTGTTCACTTTCCATCTCCCCCTCCTCCATGGACTGCTGAGCTCCACCCACCAACGTCTCCTCTTCGTCTTCTTCTTCTATTATAACCTCAACTGTGATGTCTTCCATTTCTTCACCCTAAACCCCGAAGGTGACGGAACAGATATGTGACCGGGAAGAGATTACATCGGGGAACGTCTCCTCATAGCTTAGAATACATCTTTATATCTACACGCCGAGTCCCACCTACCTGATCATGGTGGAGGAGGGTGTGGTCGTTCTGGGTGGAATCCCGGGGATACAGAGGACGGGGACATCTCTCTGGTGGCTCTTCGTCACTGGATTCATCTGTAGGAAACAGTTATGGGGGATGATTGAGGATCTACATGGAACCCTATTCGGCTCTTTCCAATAATCCAAATGATCTTCAGCAGAAGAATGTGACCAGAGACAACCTACATCCTTCTACTGAGATGTGTTCTAGGACGTCTACTAGGACATGGGTAGCCAACCAGTGGTCCTTCAGCTGTGGTGGAACTACAAATCCCATGAGGCATTGCAACATTCTCACAGACATGACTCCCGGAGAGAGATGCATCATGGGATTTGTAGTTCCTCCACCACAGCTGGGAGGAACACTGGTTGGCTACCCCTGTACTAGGAAGCAACCGAGCAGAATGTGACTCAGTTGTGTATATAACATTCACACTCACCTTTGGTGATATCCGGAGAAGACTCCTCCTCTTTTTCAGTCATCATTATCATCATCCCAGCCTCCTCCATTGGCTGGTGATTAGACCTCACGTCGATCGCCTCCTCCTCTTCTTCTGCTTTACTCTCGGCTTTCATATTCCCCCGATCCTCACCCTTCCATCACAAAATATTAAAAGGAAGAACGTATTAATACCGATATTCAAAAAAGGTTCAAGACGCCTCCCCGGGGAACTACAGAGCAGTCAGTCTAACGTCAACAGAATGGAGACTGTTCGAGGGAATGATAGAGGACTAGTTAGTGGATTTTGTCTATGGCAAAGAAGTGATGGTCAGCACGGACTTAGGAAGGACCGTTCTTGTCAGACCAACCTACTGGACCTGTACCTGGATGGAGGAAGGGCGGTGGATGTGGTGTACCTGGATGGAGGGAGGCCGGAGGATGTGGTGTACCTGGATGGAGGGAGGCCGGAGGATGTAGTGTACCTAGATGGAGGAAGGCCAGTAGATGTGGTGTACCTGGATGGAGGAAGGCCGGAGGATGTGGTGTACCTGGATGGAGGAAGGCCGGAGGATGTGGTGTACCTGGATGGAGGAAGGCCTTTGGATGTGGTGTACCTGGATGGAGGAAGGCCAGAGGATGTGGTGTACCTGGATGGGGGGGGAAGGTCAGTGGATGGTGTGTACCTGGATGGAGGAAGGCCGGTGGATGTGGTGTACCTGGATGGAGGAACCTTCATATGGTGTACAGTATCTCCTCAATTCTTCTGGTGATGACTAGAGATTTCATATACCTCCACCTCATTTGTCGGGAACATTAGAAGGTGGTGGAGGTATATCGATGACAGTCTATGAACAGTAAAGATGTGAGGATCTCTGTCTAGAACAAGGGCAGCATACACTTTACCCAATTAGAGAAAAATTGGCCGACCTCTGTACATAAAAAGCGATATTCGCAGTTAAAATGAGGAAAAGTCTTCTCTAGTAACGTGTTCTCTGTGACTGGAATTGCTTCTCATATTTGTAGGAAGGATCATTGTAGAATGTTGATCTGGGAAGATCTCTGATGGCCTTTTGGCATCGGGAAGGAATTCCTTTCACCTAAACCAGGGGTGGCCAAACTGCGGTGGAACTACGAATCCCATGGAGGCTTTGCAAGATTCTCACAGCCACGACTCCCGGAGAGAGATGCATCATGGGATTTGTAGTTTCACCCACAGCTTTGAGGGGCTTGAGTTTGGATTGTCTTTTTTATAAGTTCTATTTCATCCCAGATAACGATGTAAATACACATTTTATACTCCGAGAGGCAGAACGAACATGTGACCCGTTTCTACAATGTTTATGGACTTATGTTTAGGACTTACTTGTGTCCGTACGTAGAGAAGATGCCTCCTGTTCACTTTCCATCTCCCCCTCCTCCATGGACTGCTGAGCTCCACCCACCAACGTCTCCTCTTCGTCTTCTTCTTCTATTATAACCTCAACTGTGATGTCTTCCATTTCTTCACCCTAAACCCCGAAGGTGACGGAACAGATATGTGACCGGGAAGAGATTACATCGGGGAACGTCTCCTCATAGCTTAGAATACATCTTTATATCTACACGCCGAGTCCCACCTACCTGATCATGGTGGAGGAGGGTGTGGTCGTTCTGGGTGGAATCCCGGGGATACAGAGGACGGGGACATCTCTCTGGTGGCTCTTCGTCACTGGATTCATCTGTAGGAAACAGTTATGGGGGATGATTGAGGATCTACATGGAACCCTATTCGGCTCTTTCCAATAATCCAAATGATCTTCAGCAGAAGAATGTGACCAGAGACAACCTACATCCTTCTACTGAGATGTGTTCTAGGACGTCTACTAGGACATGGGTAGCCAACCAGTGGTCCTTCAGCTGTGGTGGAACTACAAATCCCATGAGGCATTGCAACATTCTCACAGACATGACTCCCGGAGAGAGATGCATCATGGGATTTGTAGTTCCTCCACCACAGCTGGGAGGAACACTGGTTGGCTACCCCTGTACTAGGAAGCAACCGAGCAGAATGTGACTCAGTTGTGTATATAACATTCACACTCACCTTTGGTGATATCCGGAGAAGACTCCTCCTCTTTTTCAGTCATCATTATCATCATCCCAGCCTCCTCCATTGGCTGGTGATTAGACCTCACGTCGATCGCCTCCCACTCTTCTTCTGCTTTACTCTCGGCTTTCATATTCCCCCGATCCTCACCCTTCCATCACAAAATATTAAAAGGAAGAACGTATTAATACCGATATTCAAAAAAGGTTCAAGACGCCTCCCCGGGGAACTACAGAGCAGTCAGTCTAACGTCAACAGAATGGAGACTGTTCGAGGGAATGATAGAGGACTAGTTAGTGGATTTTGTCTATGGCAAAGAAGTGATGGTCAGCACGGACTTAGGAAGGACCGTTCTTGTCAGACCAACCTACTGGACCTGTACCTGGATGGAGGAAGGGCGGTGGATGTGGTGTACCTGGATGGAGGGAGGCCGGAGGATGTGGTGTACCTGGATGGAGGGAGGCCGGAGGATGTAGTGTACCTAGATGGAGGAAGGCCAGTAGATGTGGTGTACCTGGATGGAGGAAGGCCGGAGGATGTGGTGTACCTGGATGGAGGAAGGCCGGAGGATGTGGTGTACCTGGATGGAGGAAGGCCTTTGGATGTGGTGTACCTGGATGGAGGAAGGCCGGTGGATGTGGTGTACCTGGATGGAGGGAGGCCGGAGGATGTGGTGTACCTGGATGGAGGGAGGCCGGAGGATGTAGTGTACCTAGATGGAGGAAGGCCAGTAGATGTGGTGTACCTGGATGGAGGAAGGCCGGAGGATGTGGTGTACCTGGATGGGGGGGGAAGGTCAGTGGATGGTGTGTACCTGGATGGAGGAAGGCCGGTGGATGTGGTGTACCTGGATGGAGGGAGGCCGGAGGATGTGGTGTACCTGGATGGAGGAAGGCCGGAGGATGTGGTGTACCTGGATGGGGGGGGAAGGTCAGTGGATGGTGTGTACCTGGATGGAGGAAGGCCGGTGGATGTGGTGTACCTGGATGGAGGAAGGCCTTTGGATGTGGTGTACCTGGATGGGGGAAGGCCTTTGGATGTAGTGTACCTGGATGGGGGAAGGCCGGTGGATGTAGTGTACCTGGATGGAGGAAGGCCGGTGGATGTGGTGTACCTGGATGGAGGGAGGCCGGAGGATGTGGTGTACCTGGATGGAGGAAGGCCGGAGGATGGCGTGTACTTGGCCTGTTCCAGATGTTCAGTGCCACCTACCTGATCATGGTGAGGGATCTCCTGATGGGTGGGATCCCGGGAATACAGAGGACGGGGACATCTCTCTGGTGGTTTCCTCTTATTGGATCCATCTGTAGGAGACACACAATGACTCAACGTCTCTTCTTCTTCTTCTTTAACCTCAACTTTGACGTCTTTCATTTCTTCACCACAAAGATGACGGAACAGATCTGTAAAAGGGAACCAGAAATCACATCGGTGAATGTCAAGTCATAGATTAGAATATATTTTTAGGTGTTGCCATGGATGAGGGACCGGAGGGTAACACTGGGACATGGGAGGGAAGACAATGAACAATGTATTACTGTCTGTCGTTCTTGAAAAATAACCAATAAAATAACCAATACACTACAATCATCGCAAGACCCCAAATCTGACGACACAAGATATCTGCTATAGAAAAAGAGGATCTATCGGGTCTATAAATGGCGGCTCTGGATGGACAGTTGGATAAATGGTTCTATATTTAGGATGTATCCGGTCTATAAATGGCGGCTCTGGATGGACGGTTGGATAAATGGCTCTATATTTAGGATGTATCCGGTCTATAAATGGCGGCTCTGGATGGACGGTTGGATAAATGGCTCTATATTTAGGATGTATCCGGTCTATAAATGGCGGCTCTGGATGGACGGTTGGATAAATGGCTCTATATTTAGGATGTATCCGGTCTATAAATGGCGGCTCTGGATGGACGGTTGGATAAATGGCTCTATATTTAGGATGTATCCGGTCTATAAATGGCGGCTCTGGATGGACGGTTGGATAAATGGCTCTATATTTAGGATGTATCCGGTCTATAAATGGCGGCTCTGGATGGACGGTTGGATAAATGGCTCTATATTTAGGATGTATCCGGTCTATAAATGGCGGCTCTGGATGGACGGTTGGATAAATGGCTCTATATTTAGGATGTATCCGGTCTATAAATGGCGGCTCTGGATGGACGGTTGGATAAATGGCTCTATATTTAGGATGTATCCGGTCTATAAATGGCGGCTCTGGATGGACGGTTGGATAAATGGCTCTATATTTAGGATGTATCCGGTCTATAAATGGCGGCTCTGGATGGACGGTTGGATAAATGGCTCTATATTTAGGATGTATCCGGTCTATAAATGGCGGCTCTGGATGGACGGTTGGATAAATGGCTCTATATTTAGGATGTATCCGGTCTATAAATGGCGGCTCTGGATGGACGGTTGGATAAATGGCTCTATATTTAGGATGTATCCGGTCTATAAATGGCGGCTCTGGATGGACGGTTGGATAAATGGCTCTATATTTAGGATGTATCCGGTCTATAAATGGCGGCTCTGGATGGACGGTTGGATAAATGGCTCTATATTTAGGATGTATCCGGTCTATAAATGGCGGCTCTGGATGGACGGTTGGATAAATGGCTCTATATTTAGGATGTATCCGGTCTATAAATGGCGGCTCTGGATGGACGGTTGGATAAATGGCTCTATATTTAGGATGTATCCGGTCTATAAATGGCGGCTCTGGATGGACGGTTGGATAAATGGCTCTATATTTAGGATGTATCCGGTCTATAAATGGCGGCTCTGGATGGACGGTTGGATAAATGGCTCTATATTTAGGATGTATCCGGTCTATAAATGGCGGCTCTGGATGGACGGTTGGATAAATGGCTCTATATTTAGGATGTATCCGGTCTATAAATGGCGGCTCTGGATGGACGGTTGGATAAATGGCTCTATATTTAGGATGTATCCGGTCTATAAATGGCGGCTCTGGATGGACGGTTGGATAAATGGCTCTATATTTAGGATGTATCCGGTCTATAAATGGCGGCTCTGGATGGACGGTTGGATAAATGGCTCTATATTTAGGATGTATCCGGTCTATAAATGGCGGCTCTGGATGGACGGTTGGATAAATGGCTCTATATTTAGGATGTATCCGGTCTATAAATGGCGGCTCTGGATGGACGGTTGGATAAATGGCTCTATATTTAGGATGTATCCGGTCTATAAATGGCGGCTCTGGATGGACGGTTGGATAAATGGCTCTATATTTAGGATGTATCTGGTCTATAAATGGCGGCTCTGGATGGACAGTGGGATAAATGGTTCTATATTTAGGATGTATCTGGTCTATAAATGATAACAGACATGGTAATGACTAAAATGGAAGAGGACACATACTACGGGAAATATAAACATAAAATAAAATCTTATTACCTCCAGCAATGCCTCCTCTCTACTTCCTTCGAACTGACCTTAAACCTGGAACTTCCTTTTTATACTCATACATCACTTCCTGTCTCTTCCCGACATCATTTCCTTTTTGTTGTTGACATCATTTCCTGTGTTGTTCTGATATCGCTTCCTGTTAGTGACATCACTTCCTGTCTGTCGGTGACATCACTTCCTGTCTGATTATTTCATGGAAGATCGCCGCCTAGTGTTGAATGTGAATACTACAGAATACGTTACGTCTCATCGTGTTGTCCTCGGGGGTCCCTTCCTCCATGACGTCACCTCCATGGACACACACACAGATTACACATCACATCCAGACAAGGAAACGTAACATATAAAAATACAAAAGTTTGGTAGTTTTGTGATATTTATAAATGTGAAACTAAATCATAAAAAAGATACTAAAATCTGAAATACGAGCCAAAGAGGAAATACAAGTATAAGGGTCGTTATTAAACCCATGTGACTGTAATTCTAAAATCCCATTGGACGTTTGTATGTTGGACGTCCTACGGGGCCTCCTGGACGTAGTTAAGGAATCACGGGAAGGAGAGTCAGAACTTGACAACATTGCGTGGCAATGCCCCGGTGTTAGGTGGCCTCAAGATTCTCAGCCGGAGGGGCCGAGTGGCTCCAGGAAGCAATTGCTTGTACCAGGACAGAGCCGGCTTTTCAGTCCTTCCCGGGTTTTCTGGATCACAGTTGGGATTCTGGAGCCGGGAGGTCTCTTAGAGATCTGGGTGGGATGAAATCTCCATTCCTGGCTCCGTTCTTTAGTAGCGACCAGCTAGGGTTGCCACCTGTCCACGGTTTTGAATGCTGTGTTCGGGTTTCATGGCAGCAGAAACCCGGACACAAGATGTCAGGCAGACAGGGGCAACCAAAATTAAGAGAAGGGCTACTGGCCCACCACTGAAAACAGTCTCAACTGTGATATTTACATAGGAATGGGCGGCGCTATTTACATATCAATAAGCTACGACTTATTCTCCCCCAAAAATGCCCGCGCGTCGCTAGAGTGTTCGGGTTTGGCTTGAAGAAAAGGTGGCAACCCTACGAATGGTGCACCTGTGTACAACCCTCATGAAGAGGGTGCCGGGAGGTGTTGAGGGCCTCCACCTGGGAGACAGGAGAAGGCCACCCAGGAGTCAGAGTGGAGGACAGGGCAGCAGGTTGGCACTAGATTGAGGTGGTCTGGAGGAACCAGACAGCGGCCCTGAGGATTGAGGCCGGAGCAGCAGTGCTGCAAGACATAGAACGTTGAAGGACTGGGACACGGTGAGCGTGAGGGACATCTCGAGGATTGGTGAGCCATTATATGCTGAAGACAAGCTACTTTTATGTTGGACTTCCTTGGTTGTCTGCTTGGAAAACACAATAAAGACTTTTGGTTTGTGGGAAAATCACATCCACCCAATAAATCCCTGGAAGGAATGTGATCGCTCTCTCAGCAGAAAGTGACCCTAAAGTGTAACCACTGAAAGGAAGACTAGAGGTCAGGAGGTCACAGGCCCAGTCTGCTACTCAGATTCAGGAGGTCAGAGGCCCGGTCTGATACTCAGATTCAGGAGGTCAGAGGGCCGGTCTGCTACTCAGATTCAGGAAACTAAATGAAATATTGAACCAAATTTGATACTTACACCTCGGGTAGATTGGATGATGCGTCTCGGGTGGATTGGATGATGTGTCTCGGGTGGATTGGATGATGCGTCTCGGGTGGATTGGATGATGTGTCTCGGGTAGATTGGATGATGTGTCTCGGGTGGATTGGATGATGTGTCTC